CGCAGGAAAAAAAAAAAAAAAAAAAAAAGAAGAAACCAAATCTCTCCTCTCCAATAAAAAATCTATTATCGAGGTGATTTGTTAGTTTCATCTCTTCCTAGATGAACAAGTAAATGAGCAAGGTATAAGCACCATGTCCCCCACGAAACAGCACACCTGCTCCCACCAAGGCAGTTAAGCAACGAGAAGTGTAAGGTCTGCGTCTCTGCCAGAATGAAGGGACTGCTGTGCTCCTCTAATTCCAGCACACAAGCATCAGAGAGAGTCAAGGATTCAGAAGCACTCCAGTGCTTAGCTCCACACAGTACTTAATCACAATTTATAGGCATACACTCCACTCTGCTGACTACAAAGTCCAGCGTTGCATATGCAGGCCCAGTGTTGCCACTGAGCAACAACTCAGTGTTTCTATACATCTGCTCTTCTTGCTTTAGTTCCCGCTCTGTAAAATAAAGAAAAAAAAAAATCGAGAAAGAATAAAGAAAAAAATCTTTTCTGTTCCACAGGGGAGTCGAGAGAATTTCTTAGGATAAATCCATTAAAGAGTGGGATATGATCTAATATAAAGGTAGGATCAGCACCTATTGTACATAGCTTAGGAAGGTAGACTTCGCAAGCTTTATAAATAAAGGCAACATGCTCTGCACATAATGAAAACTTCTAAGATTTTATTAGTTGTTGTTTGGGATGTAGCTGTATGTGGTGCACAATAGAAACAGATGTTTAAGAGCTTGTCTTAACACAGATGCTTTTCTTAACGTAGTGTGCCCAAAGGGAAGGAGTGCATTCATCTCTCTTACTAATGGTAAAAAACAGAATTATATATATATATATGAGAAGAATCCACATGGTTTTAAGGAAAAAAAATCTTACAACTCTTTATTTTTCACCAAGATCATAGGCTTGATTGATGAAGGCAATTGCGTAAATTCGGTATTCCTAGACTGCTGTAAGATATTTGCTTTAATTATTCCACCTCTTTCTGATTAGGGAGGCAGGATAATAAGGAATCAATACATCACACATAATAAAGATTAAAAACTAGATAAGTAATTGGCCTCTGAATGAAATGGTAAGTGAAGAATCACTGCTGATCCTGTGCATTTCTACTGGTCCCAAGCAGGTCAACTCTTGGTTCTGTTACACTCAACAAACAATGACATTGAAGAGAACAGCAGATGTTATAAAATCCAGAAGAATCAGTTGGCCACAACCTCCCATCATGAATCCCTACCCAAAAAGGTTAATGTGGTCTTTGATAGTATAAATACTTAGAGCTATATAGCTGTGAATGTAGATTAAGGTACACAGAAGCGTAAAGGAAACTTGACTAATGAGCTAAAATCTGCAACATGTACAACAATCTACTATTGAGCAAGTGCTTATCAACTTGAGTCGCTACAGCTGTGCATTTTAAAATCAAGATTGGATGCCTTTCTAAAAGATAAGTGCTAGTTCAAATACGAATTCATTCAGGAAAGTTGCATGACATGCAAAACAGAAGAGGTTAGTGTAGGTGATTACAATAATCCCTCTTGGCTTTCCATCTCTGAAAGTGTTTTAGCAAAATGGATTCACCTGATGAATTTTAATGATGATTTATATATGTTAAAAAATGCATTCATATATATAGATTTTGTATATATAACATTTTAATTATATTTGCAGCAAAGGTAATACAATTTAAATTTGTCCCTTTTATATGTAAGTAAACCCTCAAAGTTTTGTTACTCATTTCCTTAACCTTTTTTTTTTCAGTTTAACGTGGTTTTTCAAATTTATAAAACAAAGAATAAACTGGCTACTCAGCATTTAAAAGAAGTATAAATTCAAGGTTATATCTATTAACCTCTTTACCTCAGGAGAGTAATGTCTCATACTTTATTTAGCTAAAAGGTTCATATAAATTAACATCTTTTCTGATCCATAAATTTCCACCACTAACCCCAAAACGTTGAAATGAAATTATCAGCCCTGGGAGATGTGTCTTGTGGATTTTAATGCCACTTGTTATATGATATTAGACCATGTGAATATAAATCAAATACAATTTTATGTTTTATTCCATCTGATAGCTCAAAGGAACTGGCATTCATATGGAACAAACCAACTCTATTTCAGCATCCAAATTTATTTCTTTGTCAAGCACATTTTCCCCTTCCATAATAATCATTCTACTGCAGACTTACATTTGTATTAATCACACAAATAGGCCACATTTCTTCATATATTATAGGCTAACCCTTTCATTTTAAAATCTATTTGATTCAGAGGATTAGTTCCATACTAACCTAATACTAACCTAGCATATTAAATTAGGACTATCTTCTTCTTAGCAGATCAAGTTTTAATTTTTTTGAAAACTTTGGTTAAAAAAAGCAGATAAAATTGACTATTACTGTTCAAACTTTGCTGAACATTTTAGCAAGTGTTTCCATGCTTGGGAAGCAAACCACATAGGGCTGCTGAGGAGAAGCACATTGTTATATTGACAGTAAAGATGAATTGTGTGAATATGCCCTCTCTCTCAGCTTCCTTTGAGTCTTCTGATTAAATAGCTTTTATCTGCCTCCTTTTTTTCTATTATGAAATGTGCCAGATCATAGCACACCCAAAAAAACCCAACATTTTTGCTTGTTTGCTGGATCCATCCTGCTCAGTCGTGTCAGAGATTTTGGCTGTGAAGTCCCTCTGGTGTCTTTCCTCCTATAGTAGCACATCAAGATGGATCTGGTGCTTCCCTGGCAGCAGTGCTAAGTTGCTCCTGAGCAGCATTTGGGCTATCATCAGCTAAATAGACTGTGAAGAGGGGAAGGTATTAATTAAGAAGAGAGAAACAGAAGAAGAGAAAGGCTGATAAAAAGGCAGGTTTGGGAATCTACAGCCATAAAATTCCATGGGGAAAAGCTAATAACTACCAGCCACTAAGGTGTAAGGAGCTACAAAAGAAAATGTACGCTATACATTTGGTCTATGGTCCTTCATAGACCTTATGGTCTATGAAAAGAATTAAATAATCAGCAAACCTTATAATGGAACATAACTGTGGTCCATAAAACAATATACTTGTCCAAACATCTTTCCTTTCGGCTGTCCTTTGGTTTACTGTCAATTTAGCAATTAACTATAAATTTAAAAGACAAGATAAGTTTTAACATCATAGATATTATTCAGACGTGCTACCAAATTTTGGAACCACTGATGATGCAAGAAATATCCAGCAGTTAAGTTTGTTTAGCCAAACTCAGGCATTTTTCTTTTTATATACAAAAGCAGGCTCTCATTCAGTAGGATCCAGTTTTAAAAGTTCCAGTGAGCTTGCTAAGGCACTGTTATGTTTATAAGAATATCAGCTATATTCTATTGAGTTATTTGTTTGCTCATTCTGTTAAACTGAGGCACAGCCAGGGTCAATTGCTCTAATACTACAGTGATCAAATAAGAAAAGATCAACAGTTGTTTAAATCATTGACCTCACCATCATCAATATCCACTAGTGTATTTTAAGTGAAAAGGTCTGATTCTAGTCTCATCCACACTGCTGTAAATTACAAGCAACTTCATGTCAGTAGGGTTACTCTGCAGTAATTCCAATTTGAAACTATATATTCCATAGTTGTCCAAAAGCAGGTGATCTAGAGGTTTCATAAGAATCTGACTGTTGGGGAAAATTTTATTGTGCAGCCATCAGCAGAAATCCCTACTACCTTTCTTGTATATCATATGTATAATTTTCAACTTGCTACAATACTTATTAAAATGAAAAAAAAAATCAGTACAAATACACTGTTCTTCCACCCATTTTCTGGGCCATTTATTTATTAATCTCTAAGTACTAAATATAGTTTAGAAAAAAAAATGGCAATTCCATTTGCAATATGCACTCCTCCACCAAGTCTAAAAAGATTTAAAGGCAAATAAATCAATAATGTTCACGACACAGATATAACTTTGATATAACAAATTATAATACACCTTTCCCCTAAATGTCCCTGAATTGTGTACAGAAGGCAAAAGAAGGAGAGCTTTCTATTTTTTCTCATAGGACAAGATACATCCAGTGAAAATATCCGTCAGGAAGTTTAAATAAACAAATAAGAAAGAAATACTTCTTCACATTATGTTTATATTTTTGAGTATTTTGAGGAACACCTAAAGGGAAGGAACACAGAGCTTTTGATAAAGGATTTGATTATTTTAAGGAGATTCAATGCCTTTCAGGTGAACTTAGAACAACATCTAATGCTCTAGAAAGAAATGCATTATTTATAGAAAATAATGGTGAACAGAGCTCTGTGCCTTTAAAACATGTAGCAAGGGACAATCTCTATTCTGCAGAATGTACACCTGAAGTAGTGAAGACAAATTAAGAGCCGGAAGCAGAATAGCCACAAAGATGGTTTTAAGTGACATATCACTTTCAGTCATACAGAAAATAAATGATAGAGTCAAGGCTATAATCTGTATTTTCTGCATTCAGATTCACTGACCTACTGGGCCACACTGACATTAGATCAGACCAAAGTACTGGATTTTTCTGTTGTTTTCATCAGACCTTTTTTTTTACTTTGTTCTCTAGTCCCTCATAAAAGTAGGGCATACAACATAAGGTCAAAGATCCCTCTAATCTCTATTACGTCTCTGACAGTGGCCAGGAATAGATGTTTAGAGAACAACATGAAGGTAAGACAAGTTTGCAGTGGTACTTTCCAACATTACAGCTTTCTGTCGTCATGTAGTCAACA